GGTTTGAAGTAGATTTTGATATGTAAAAGTGGTGCGATTTTTTGTATTAAATGTCTGCGCATGTGAACTATTATTGGAAACAGTGAAACAAGTGCTCTGATGATGATGTGATTCTCAAGATAAGGTGTCTGTCTGCTTAGGCGGCTTGAGATACCATCGCCAACTGTCATCTATCTGCTGGCTCAAGTTGCCGCCAAAATCTCCCAAGGGCTGCACAATGTGACGCATCAACATATTTGTGAAGCAGTGTACTATGAAGTATAATTATACATAGTAACTTCAGGCTCAGAAGGGCTAGAACCCAGAGCCGTAAAGCCAGTTATTAGGTGGCGAAGCTTGCGAAGTCACTTATTGATTTCACGATGTCTGTCCGTCTGTCCCACGATTATCTCGAGAACGGTTTTGAATTTTCAAATTCTGTTTTCAGCAATCGATTACTGATCACCCAGGCATCTGAACCTCCTATTTTGAAACTGATTGCTCAACGGCAACCGTTAGAAACCGCTACAAAGCTGATTGCTTCGCCACTTTGCTATGCTGTTAGCTTGCTAGGTTTATTAACCTCTGAAGGAGGCGGAGTTATAGCCGAAATAAAAATTTTTAATTTTTGGCCATTTTGACCATAATGAAAACTTTTTGCCCCTATTCAACCATGACCCCCATGACATCCTCCTCTACATGACAGGCTATTCAAACTGACTATGCCTAAAGTTCGAGCCACTCCCCAATTTTTTGGTTTTTGGCCATTTTGACCGAATAGGTGTAATGAGAACTTTTTGCCCCTATTCAACCATAACCGCCATGACATCCTCTACATGATAGGTCATTCAAACTGGCTATGCCTAAATTTCGAGCCAACCCCCAATTTTTTGGTTTTGGGCCATTGTGACCGCCTAGGAGTGTAATGAGAACTTTTTGACTCTATTCAACCATGACCCCCATGACATCCTCTACATGATAGACTATTCAAACTGACTAGGCCTAGTTTGAGTCACCCCCCAACTCATTTCTAGTCTTTACTTCGAATTACTTACAATAAATTAGGTAGGTAAGCAGTTATAGTAGGTCAATCGAAGGCATGAAGCAAATACAAAGACGAGGTGCTGTAATTAGATTTCACTATGTAACAACGCGTGACAATTTGCGGGGTGAGGGGATATTAAGCCCCGTCCACTTTACTATCTACATCTACCGATAAATAGTAAGTTTTACTTTATCGATGTTGCAATGTAGTTTACTACCTTGACGATAGATGGCAGTCTGTTTACAAAATTATTACAAAAACTATAAAAATAATATTTTGGGGATTAAACATTCTTTAGGACTGAATGCAGAACAAATTTCGCGCGTCTTCGTATGATTATTTTACCAATACTGAGCTCTACGTACCTTTATATTTTTAGTTCACATGACACAAAGTGTCGCCATCTAGTGTCGAATATATTAAATTATATTTGAAAGCCGACGCACTTTTCTAGAACTATTTTAGTAAATTAGGTGTAAAATTGCCATCCATAGCATCAGAGCGTCTATCTGAGTAGTTTTTATACGATAAAACACAACACTTCTTCCTTTTCTTCTTAATGCTACGAAAATATACCGATTTGCGATTTTCAACACATAAGCGCACAGAACGAATGCTGACAGTATACTAACTAAAGCAACGCCCACTATGATGACGTCAGGACCTACTTAGAATCACAGTGCACAGTTGCTTATGCCGTCTCCTCTTTGTATTTGCTTCATGATCAAAGGTAAAAGGTAAGGGACTCAATCAAAATAAAAACCGCCAATACCATGACAAATAATTCTATTTTAATATAACAGACTTTTAAATACATTCTTATGTGTCGTAACATTCACTTTGTTTCGAGAACAACACACCATGAACTTCAACAATAAATACATTGTGTAACATTGGAATACTTACTACCGCTAACATGATAACGATAAAAGTCGAGGCTGCAAATTTGTAAGCGAGAATACGTTGCATAAAATTTACGCTTAGACTTCCACATATACACCTTTTCTACTAAACAGTGGCGTTTGCAAATAACTTTATAATTTTCTTCAAAAGTGAATGAGAATTTTTTTATCCCATTAACTTGAAAAATGCAAACTTTACAAACGCCAGACGATAGCGAAATTTCCACCGCAAACATCTGTTTGAATGATCACAATAATATATAAAAGCATGCATACAGTCTAAAAGAAAATTAAAGGAACTATTTATACAAATATAATATCTACTGTAATTTAAAAAATACGACAAAAAACGTATTTGTAAAGTAAGTAATGTTTAAGAAAAATCTTCACGAATACTATTCTACATAGCCTTGTGTTCACAAGAGAAAAATTTCATAAAAAATCTTTTTAATCGTATTATATAATAACAAGCGCAAAATGCGACCATTTTCGAGTTAAAAAAACCAACAACCAAACAACTTTCGAATGAGTAAGTTATGAGTAACTAATATCACTGATTTAAAACTACAATGAAATTAGCTCTTACAAACATTAATTTATGCATGTTAAAATTAACTGAATGGTAACTGAAAGCAACGGTATTACATATTAATTATTACATATTATACGTGCAATTAATATAGTTTTTTATCTATTAACTACATAAGCAATTCTTGGTCTTAAAGAATATTACATTTGCCCGTACACATTTTAAATGTGTAAGGTGAAAGATACCGTTTCATAATTAAAAAAATCTTAAATCATTTCTCAAAATCGTAAACATATTGAATTCATTGATAATTAGTAGTAAGATAACAAAGTAAATGCGTTTTACTTGGTAAATTAAAAATTTGGTATGTTTAAAAAAAGTCTAACATAATTTATTAGGTGACTACATTTATTAACACACATATTTTTGGTTACTTTTATATTTTTATAAACACAACAACAAACCAATGATAAATAGCAAAGTTGCTATTCGCTTCGATTTAAAATGAATTGTTTGTGTAAAAAAATAAGAAATGAGACACCTTGACAACTGTTACATTCTTTCGCATTAAGCTTTGCATCTTTTTATTAGCCTCAAAGTCGGGGCACCAAACGCTGTAACATTGCATTCGCGTTCGTATTTTACTACATCGATCTACTTAACTAAAAAGACCCATGTCATGAATAAATTGCTCATTCAGCAGATAGTAGCAGCGATACTTAACAAGAAAATGTATGTCAACAGAACACCTTATCAATAAGATCTTTACAAAACATCATGAAGCCATTTTATTAAGTAATAGCCAATCCAGATTTGAACTTATTTATAGCCTAAGCTGGGCTCAAAATCAACTATTACAACGGTGCCCAATAAATATTGATACACAGCTGCTTACTCACCTGCAAGTGTGGCAACTATGGCAATTATCTCCCTATGAGGCAATCTATGGCGGAGGCTGTTCAGTAGTGGACTTTAATAGGCCGTAATAAATACATTCATTAAATTATAAAATTATTGTAAACGCAATTATTGGCTTTGTTAATTTTCGTTCTAGCTCAACGTAAATCCACAGCTAAACATAGGCCTCGTCCATGTAATGCCACAAAGCATGGTCCTAAGCCACCAATTTAGTTATTTTAAAAGAAATTCTTCGGCTTCATTTGTTCACTATTACAACATAACATGTGGTTTTTATAGTCATACCGCACAGCACACAATAAAAGGCGGTAATTTATATAGGTGACATATTTGACCTTGTCCCTCAGATAAGTGTTGAGAAGAAAATGCCTGAAAATTTATTTAGCTAAGATAATTTGATTGCTTGGTGATGGAACCGCCGTCTAGACATGTGTCATACATGCATTTCTAGTGACCCGATCATTCAAATGGATCATCTCGAGTTTCATTTCTCTGTGATCTATATGACACCTGTTCGATAATATCGTCGTCGTAACTATACTCTTTGGTCATAGATCCTGTCAATCGCTTGATCCGGAACATTTAAAAAATGTAATAGGGTATTTTGTACCATTAAAAAAAATACATATTATTTACGATAGATTTTGTAAAAAGTAAACGAGATGTGTTGATTTCTATTCATAAAAATGCATTTGAAAGAATATACATTTATAAGCATCAAGCTTTTTAAATCTGTGCCTTAAATCTGCAAAGCGCTATTCGCCATATTATTAGATTCCGTCGTAACGTCACTTTTATAGTAAATAAGCTAATGTGCAAGCAAATTTTTTCAAGTTATCATCATGATTGTTGACTTTTCGTATTTTATTGAAATGGCATCATGGAAGACGGATTCAGGCTTAGCTCTCCATTGACGTCCGTCGAGTTGAGGGTTGATATTTTTTTTACAGAAAGGTTACATTATTTTTTCGTGGATCGATACATCAGCTTACGATTAGAATCGATTTAAAAATCGATCTTTTTCGGAAAGAATCGGTATCCTTACTGACGATGACAATGACAATACAAAATAGCACCAGTTTTACGGTAGGAATTGACATAAATATTGCAAAAATAATTGATTTTCAATAATTTTTTTCTCAAAAAGTACGCGTTTCCGCATGTTGAAAGTGCGTGTGTGCTTATAATAATGTAACCATTCTGTAAAAAATATCAACCCCCAACTCGACGGACGTCAATGGAAAGTCGTACCCGGTCGCGTAAAAGCAGAAAGTACTTGCTAAGCTACCAAGGATAAAATACATAAAATACATATAGTGGCAATTTTTTTTGCATGTAATCCCGATGTTTGTACTGCCGAGTTAAGGAATGTTAAAAGAATATTCTGATGTGACCCGGGTCAAATGAACGATTGTTCACGTTTGACACATGTCTAAGCCGTACTGCTGTAACGTTATTACAAACGTATAGAAATCATGATTAAACTTCGCCGAAATTATGTAAAAACCTAAAATGGAAGTAGTTTTAAATAAGTAAAAATGCCTAATACACATAATACCTACGGGGGTGTATGTACAGAGCCGAGGCTCAATTAACTATTTCACAGACTAGAGTCCTCATCTGAATATCACCACATGTGTGTTTCCCTTATCTCGCTTATGATTTGACCAGCGCGTTGTAATGCCTGAAATATAAACACATTCAAAGTTTAAAACAGCTTGCTATATATAAAACTTATAACATAGATACAATATTTTATGATAGACTACGACATTTGATGGATATTTGAAATAAGAATGCTAAAATTTCCGGCGAACAGACAATGGACATTTTCCCTTTAATCTCAGGAGTTACACAATATTATCATACTAGTGTAACAACTGTATAAAACATTTTTCTTGGTGGCGTAAGCACGATCCTGAGTCACTTGCATCCATCGACTTTTGGCATTGCTTTACAGATTGTCACTCCATATGGTGTGGGGCTGCCCTACGACGACACCAAACAACATGTGCTTGTTTAAAAATTAGTGATTTTAATCTCTGCTTGTTTAGTTATAACATCACTGATCTCGCGTTATAATTTAATTTACACCAAGATTGAGAAAACATGCTTTCTCGATATTATAAAAAAAAACAGGGCATCTCAAAAGGATGGTAACTCAAAAGGATTTGAGGCATACCTTACCGGCTTACCGGTGCGATAAAGAATGGATTTTACTGATTAGGTACCAAATAAATGTACATAAGCAATGTGATAGTTTATTGTGACGCATGTGTTGAGTAGCCGAAAACTGCTGTTAATTCATCAACAAAATACCTTAAGCATATCGGCAGCTTCCTTTCTCCTCTGAGCAATGTGTTCTGACTCGTTCAGTAAACTCTCCGCTTGGTCCGACTTGTACAGGTGAGTCACAAGTTCTGACTGCAGGTTATCCTTCACATAGTTCACAAGGAAGTGCATTACAGCCTTCGGTACGGAGTCTTGAATTGACTTGCGCACGATATAGAAATAGGATTTTATCAATCTCTCTGAAAAAAATAATAAAACTTTAAAAAAGAGTTTCGAAAGTAAAAGATAATTTTTATTAGCACAACTTTCTATACATTTATAAAAGTGTAATATATATAAAACAAACAGGCCTTTTTATATTTGAATAGAAAAGGAAAGAAAAAGAGTGCTAAAAGTCGCTTGCGTAATATTTGCGTGCTTCCGTACTATAAGGATCCTTGAAATTATATCGGTATATTTTTAATATGCAGTAAACACTCCCAAAAATACCCTCAATTTATGTTTAAATACAATTATCCTGAAAATTAATAAGATATTTATATCGATACTTTTGTCGATCATATAAAAATATGATATATTAACATTTAATGATATTATAATTATATTGAATTGATTGATGTTAATACAGTAGTAACAAAGACGAAAATTGAGGGTTTTCCGAGACATAAAACGGCATGCAAATGCAAATACGTTAACATTTATAAGCATCAAGCAAAACAGCAACATTGATGAAAGGTGGTCGGAAAACCTAACGGTGAGCAATGAGTAAAGCAAGTCCGCGTCGTCTCTATTAGAATCCTCACCAACTAAGTCACCCATTTGGTTCAAATGCATCATCGTGATGCCTTCTAATATCTTTGCATTCGAATTTTGATTTGGTGTGGGCTCGCTCCGTCCACCTAGCATCATAATGAAATATTGTTTATTAAAAATCATCATTCATCATTACAGCCCTTCAAAAGTCCACTGCTGAACATAGGCCTATCACAAGGAATGTCACGAAGCACGGTCCTGAGCCACCTCCATCCATTGACTTCCTGCATGTCTTACCAGGTCGTTACTCCATCTAGTGGGGGGACGCCCTATACTTCGTCCAACAGTATGAGGCAGCCACTCGAGAATCTTTTTTCCCCAGCGGTTCATTGCCACTTCAGCTTACTAATCCATTGGGCTATGTCGGTCACTCTGGTTCTACTGCAGATATCCTCATTTCTAAGTTTATCACGCAGAGAAACTCCGAGCATAGCCCTCTCCATAGCTCGCTAAGCGACCTTGAGCTTCCTCACCCGGCCAGCAGTGAAGGACCATGTCTCAGTTCCATAGGTCATCACTGGCAACACACACTGGTTGTACAGTCTCGTTTTATAATAATGCAACATACATATTATGCATATGCACTGCACTTCAGAGAGTTAGTGAATAGTAATCAGTTAGTATAACCAGTGGTAAAATTAAAAAAAATTGTACGACCGACTTCAATATAAATAAAATGAGAATTATGATCATTGTGGTTGAAGTCATTTAAATACGCATTATTAAGGATAACTCAAAAACAACTGGTTAGATCTTGATCAAATTAATATAGGACGACATGAGAAGCACCAACTTTCAATTAAAAAAACAATCATCCAAATCAGTATACCTAGAAAAAAGTTTAGTCGAATTGAGATCCTGCCCCTTTTTTTGAAGTCGGTTGAAAAATGGGTCACAATTTACTTCATCATCATCATCATCATCATTACAGCCTTCCATAAGTCCACTGCTGAACATAGGCCTCCCCCAAGGAATGCCACAAAACACGGTCCTGAGCCACCTGCATCCATCGACTTTCTGCATGTCTTACCAGGTCGTCACTCCATCTCGTGGGGTGTCGCCCTACACTTCGCCTTCCGGTACGAAGCTGCCACTCGAGAACCTTTCTTCCCCATCGGTTGTCGGTTCTTCGAGCTATATGGCCGGCCCACTGCCACTTCAGCTTACTAATCCGTTGGGCTATGTCGATTACTCTGGTTCTACTGCGGATATACTCATTTCTAAGTTTATCACGCAGAGAAACCCCGAGGATAGACCTCTCCATAGCTCGCTGAGCGACCTTGAGATTCCTCATACGGCCAGCAGTGAAGGACCACGTCTCAGATCCGTAAGTCATCACTGGCAACACGCACGTGTTGTACAATTTCATTTTAAGGTTTTGAGGTATGTCTGACGAGAAGATGTGTCGTAGTTTCCCGAACGCTGCTCAGCCGAGTGGAATCCGTCGATTGACCTCTCGGTCGAAGTTGGATTTACCTAGTCAGTCTATTTGTCCCAGGTAAACATACTCGTCAACAACTTCGAGCTTAGTGCTCCCAACAACTACCGGCATAGGTGTGACATGGACATTAAACATGATTTTTGTTTTGTCCATGTTCATCCTAAGACCTATTCGTTGGGAGACACTATTGAGGTCATTGAGCATGGTGCTTAGGTCCTCCAGCGATTCTGCCATAAGGACTATATCGTCGGCAAATTGAAGGTGAGTGATGTACTCGCCATCGATGTTAATACCGTATCCTTTCCAGTCCAGAAGCTTGAAAACGTCTTCCAATGCAGCGGTGAAGAGTTTCGGGGATATAACATCACCCTGTCTTACACCTTTCTGTAATTGAATAGGTTTCGTACTCTGGTTCTGCACTCGGATAGCCATCGTAGCTCTACTGTAGAAACACTTCAGCACTTCGATATACCGACAGTCAACTTGGCACCGCAGAAGGGACTGCAGCACCGCCCAAATTTCGACGGAATCAAAGGCTTTCTCATAGTCCACATATGCCAGACATAGTGGCAAATTGTACTCTTCGGACTTCTGTACAATTTGCTGAAGAGTATGTATGTGGTCTATGGTGCCTTTTCGGAAACCGGCTTGTTCGGGAGGCTGGAAGTCGTCAAGTCTGCGCGACAATTTACTTATTTAGAGAAATTTAAAAGTGAGTGTAACATTTTTATCAAGTCAAAAATCAATTCATTCAGGACAGGACTTCATTTAATGTAAATTATAGAATTTATGATAGGCATAATGCTATATTTTATATTTATTTGACATTTAAATGAGCTTAAGGTTATATTAATTAGGGAATACCAGATTGAACCCAACACAATTTTGACACTCTATGCTGATTGTGTCAAGAAGTGATACTGTTAATAGTGAAAGAATGTGGAATTTATTATTTATGAATTTTATTATTTATTAGAAATGTATGGTTGTAGGATGAAGGCAAACACTCATTTTGATATATTAGATGTGATTCCTTATACTATAAGATGTGATAAATGAATGGCAGATACACAAATATTCACAATAAATAACTAAAAATCAAGAATTTTTCTTGATGGAAGTCAACAAACCAAATATTCAGTCTATAAAGTGCAGAAGTCATAAAATATACTCTGCAGTGGAAAACTGAAAAGCTAGTGCCATCAATATAATGTTTTCATCATCATCATCATCATTACAGCCCTTCACAAGTCTACTGCTGAACATAGGCCTCCCCCAAAGAATGCCACAAAGCACGGTCCTGAGCCACCTGCATCCATCGACTTCCTGCATGTCTTACCAGGTCGTCACTCCATCTCGTGGGGGGACGCCCTACACTTCGCCTACCGGTACGAGGCTGCCACTCGAGAACCTTTCTTCCCCATCGGTTGTCGGTTCTTCGAGCTATATGGCCGGCCCACTGCCACTTCAGCTTACTAATCCGTTGGGCTATGTCGGTTATTCTGGTTCTACTGCGGATATCCTGTCACAACTTTTGATAAGCTGTAACACTAACCGCCTTATTAAAAAAGTAGTTTAGTGAGTTGCAGGTTTCAACTGCAAACTGTTTCACGAAAGAAGTCTCGCGGAAATATATGAGGAAAACTTGTAAAGTATGAAATTTGACGGTAAATGTCAAATTTCGGGAAGACAGTGGCGCCATGGCTAAGGGATTTCTTTAGTTAGAAATAATAGTTTTAAACCCAGAGACTATCAATAAACCACTATAATATGAACAAAGTTTTGATAGGTAATATCAGTAGAATAAAATATAACAAAATAAAAACCATCCTCACCAATAACGTCACAGTCATGCTGTTCACGATCAGAAAGCTTCCTGGATGTTTGATTAGGCACTTCAGGTAGTAAATTGACTGGTTTCTGGGGTGTGAGCGCTTTATTCTCTGCTGTTCCATTTAACTGGAATAAATAAGGTTAAGTTTAAAGAAGTTATAAAATCACATTAAACAAGCAGTCCAATTTTCTATTTATTACTAGCTGGCACCCGGCGCATTGCTGCCGCAAAAGCAATAATTGTGTAAATATCGTTTTAAACTTAGTTATATTATTTTATTTATTTATTATAATATATTCATGATCAAATTAAATGATATATAACTTTCAAACAATTTTATCGGTACGATACGCGCGCCACCTACTGTAAGTTAATTGTACTATGCCTATGACCTTCGCGCAAGTGCAAGCAATAAGTTGTCAAAGTTTTACTGCAATCTGATGAACGGTATGGCAGTGCATAAAATTCGAACAAACAAATATTAATTTTTATATATTAGGCAATTTACAGTAAATTTAATATGTAGAATGGGAATAATGGTTAATGGGGTAATTATCTAATGCTACTACAAATAGCTGGGTATGTATCTTTGTTTTTACATTATATAATGGAATAAAATATGTGTTACCTGTAGACCGAAAGGAGATTCACCGTTAGAATTTTGAGGTGGTGATTTATTCTCTTGCCCATCTGTGATTGCTGGCACATGCTGAAAATTATTTATTAAATTTATTTCCATAGCATGTTTGAGGATTTAGATTTTACAACAACTACTAAACACGATAGATTACAATAACTTCTTGTCAGCATGCACACATGGGCCACTTGCACTTTAGTTTAGTTGATCTATCAACTTATTAAAATTTCGAAATATAGTTTTTAAGTTAGAAAGACTCTTATAAAGGCTAAAAAAAAATCAAGAATAAAGGTAAATCTTTTTTCATTGCAATCATTGATGTGTTTACATCGCAATACAATTACAATATAGATAGTGCAATTTAATTTATTTATTTAATATATTTATTAGGACTGTCACTTATTGGAGAAACAAAGGATTTTCCTGTTATTAGTGGCTTTATAAAAAAAACATTTTAAGAATAATATTAAATACAGTCTACAACTACTGATTCCACACATTTTAATTATCAATTAATCAAAAAAATATTTAAGTGTAAGTAGTAACAAAATTATAAAAACTGGTTAAATAGCTTCCCGTAGCTGTTCAATCTGTTATTGGACAGTTGTTTCGAAAGTTTGAAAGTCGAAGAATGTTGAGTGTGACAGAAGAAGCATTAGAGTAAAATTAATGCTGTAGAAATGGGATCATTAAGAAGTATGTTAGGACCTACTCTGAATGATGGGTTGAGAAATTGTGTGATGAGAGCAGCGTGACTTGTATGTTGATGTGACCAGGATTAAGAAAGCAATGCTTTGGTGTTGTGGACACGTAGAAAGAATGAATGAGGAAAGAGTGACAAAGTTAGCAAGAGGAAGCAATTTATGCAGAAGTGAGTGGCAGCGTCGGCAAGGGACATCCCAGAGACAGTTATCAACTAAATTTGTATATAATGAAGATGGACCAAATTTTAAGAGTACCCTTAACCGACGAGCATGTATGTGTAGATATATGGATTGCAAGAAATGAGAGAGAGGTTTGTTACAATCGTGCTAAATTGTAGTCTGTCGTCTCTGCCTACCTATTTGTTATAACTATTTCTGTAAGTTCATATTATTATGTAAGCTCTGCTCATAGTATCTCGTTATGCTATCTTGTAATTAAAGACTAGTTATTTCGCCACTTTAGGTCGATATTGAATAAGTAAAGAATAATTCCATGTAAATAAAATCATTGTAATGCCTGTCTCTTGTCAAATATAATATGTAAATTAACAAAACAACAACTGTTAATTAGATATTTGTGAGGGCAGACGAAATCGCACCCACATAGTCGCGTAGCATAATTTTGCCGTTACAAAAACAATATTATAGTGTATTTTTTATATTTAACCCTACCCTTGGGCAAACATGTGTGCGCTAGATTACCACTATTTCCAGAAATTTCAATGAAGCTGTGGTTGGTAATATTTTAATCAAAAGTATTCAACAAGACGTATTTTACAGATTTCTACTTGAAATTAAAGCAGGGGGCTGAATTATCTTTCGTAAAATGCTGGCCATTCTTTGCTGCCTGTGGCAAATGGCAATTTTATTTAAGTGTACAATGCAAGGACCTTGTTATGTCTTTTCAACTGTACCTTGACAATGTTAAAAGTAAGCACAAAATTAAAAATTATATATTATCATTGAAATGTATTTGAAAGAGGGTCTATATGATAATCTGGTAAGATGCATAACCATGAATATTTTGTAGAATGTAAAATGTAAATTTTATAAAATTATATTACAAGCAAGATGTGAGAACATTTTTTCAAATGGTCAATGAACGTATTTAATTTGCGATTAAAATTAAATAAAGTGAGAAAAGGGCAATAAAATAAAACACAACACAAAGAACAATATCTCCTTAAGACATAATTACCTTAAGATTATATGCATCCCATATATTTACCAAGTATACCAATATGGACCCTCTTTCACCTACTTCACGTAGAAATAGCTACAAAAGAATTAACTTTTTAATTCATTTAAATACTGAAACTATTTGTAGCCGTAGAATTATTTATGAGATTATGGTCAGCAAAGATGGCACTAGATGAATTATATTACTTCATGAAGTCAATAACCGAATAATTGGTAATTCTACAATTTACCAGTTGTTCGGCGAATGAAAATAAACATTGCTAAAGGATCTGTATGTTTGAGATATAATACATGTTTTCTTTGCTCTATACTCTTTAAAGTTATGGCTGGCAGACAAAATTACAAACTTCTTTATCAATATGAAAATAGTTAATTAATAAAATTTTAAGTATAGTACATCACTCTATATTAATAATAACAATGTCCTCCCGACCGAATTTCGGTCACGGTGACCAGTTTCAACGGAGACTAGCTATCTGCACAGGAGAAAATTATAGTGCCCAAAGTGTATGCGCAAACATAAGTGCACTCTATAAGAGTCAAGATGGGACGGTAATCGGACGGGACCGGAAAGATATCAGGCGCAGAATCAACGGTTTTACATGCTTTCCGAGGCACTTGGGTGAAATACCCACCAATCCTGACTTCAGACTGTTACTGAGAATTTCTGGACAGAAAAATCCAAAAACTGATTTTTGGCCCGACCCAGGATTCATACCTGGGACCTCATGATCAGCAATCGCAATTGCAACCACTAGACCAACAAGACTTATGTCTAATGTGATCAGCAGTTTTCTGTTTAAATTATTAGTTATAATTTAACATTAAACTGTTAGTAAATAAGAAGTTAAGTAGACTACAAGAAACTATGTTGTCTTTCACTGATATTGCATGCCTTAAACGCAAAGTACGTAGGTATGTTGTACTAGCGCCTAAAAATCAAGATTCCAACGTTTTGTCGCATAAAATCGTATCTAACAATCATATGGGATATATAAATGATATCAAAAGCACATCAGAAAGATAAATGGTTGTTAAACTTATTAATATTTTTTTAAATCAATCAATTGCTATTTTTACATAAAAAGTGGGTTTAGTGGCTTATGGTGTAGATTTATCAAGTCCGCATGTAATGGTAAACACGATAACTTTTGAAATTTTTTTACACTTTTATAAAAAAAAAAAAACATTGTGACAGGTCATAAACAGTATATAAATTGAATGTCTACCACTCTTTTATGAAATAACGCGCTACTTTTTAGTTTGTTAACAAAGTAATGTGAAATAACAGTTTATCAAAGTCAAAATAAGATCACTATTATCTCGCTTGATTAATTTAAAATACGCATGCATACTTACTTCATGTTAGTCATTATTAGTTTCAGTCTCTTAAGCAATGAAAAAATTATAAGCAAATATATACTTTGAACATTGCTGATACCGGCGTGGATGTTGGCCGAGGAGTCTTCTGTCTGTAAACTGGGCTATGGTCTTCTATGAGACCATCTGTGCTTTTCAAAAGACCGGAGACCAAAGCTGCTTCTCTATGGAAGTCTGGATGCTTCGTGTTGATGTATGCGAGTTCAATTGCGACCAAGTTTTCCACCTAGAAATAAAAGAATATACTGTGAAATCCTTAAAGATTTACCATGTACTTGACGATAAAGGAAAACATCAGACATATGAAGTCCGCCAACACAACATACATAGCGGCGCGGCAGACTAATTACACCAATATAATAAAGCGAAACTTTTTTTGTTTGTTTAAACAGGCTAATCTCTGAAACTACCAGTCTGATTTGAAAAATTATTTTTATATATTATAGTCCGATTCATGAGAAACAGCATAGGCTATCTAGCATTAGGCTACACCTCTTAACTAGTCTTAAATATTGATTTTTGTTAAACAAGTCAGAAGAAAAAGCCCTCCCGAAATGATTTATCATAGTGTGCTGACGTAATGGTTAGTGATATGTGAATACAATGTTAGAAAAATATAGATCTTTACTTAAATAATTCCGCGATATCATATGCCTATTTCTTCTATATAAACCACAATAAGGTATTTTGTGACAAAAAATTATTATTAGACATGGCATATAAATCCTTACGAACGAAAGTTACCTCATCATCAAGACAATTTTATGAAGATAATCTTTGCTTTTTATAGCATGGCATTAGCGATGGATAGCACAGCAGCGCAGTAGCTAAGAAATTGAATTAACTAAACAATTGTCCCAGAGCTGGATGTTTGTCTTTGACAATTCATGTATGTACGTCTCTAACTTACAACACAGGAGAAAGTCTTAGTTAAAAAATATTACACTATTGCTTGTGTTGAAGATGACTTTAATGGCAAAGATGAGCTACCACAATGCTAGGTGGCAAACTTCAAATGTCCTCGAAATAATTTTTTAATTTCTCAGCATTTACGTTTCCCCACAGTAATTTCCTTCACCGCTGAGCACGGGGTTATTCAGTAGTTAAAAATGTTATTTATAATTTCAATGGTATTATAAATAATTTCAATAGAATAAAGATAAACAAATTAAGTTCTATCCCTCAGGTACACTGAGGGATAGAACTTAATTTGTTTATCTTTATTCTCCAAGCTACTATGCCAAGGAAAGAATCGCTTAAAGAATGCCAGCATAAAATAGCAGAATAATACCACTATTCATCATATGGTAAATGACGAAAACCGGATATGCTTTTTACTGGTTACATTGCAATCCAAATAAGTTTCTAGGAGGGAAAGCATCTGTACCAGATTTAGATATTTATGGGCCACAGCATTCACTTATAATCATGTGGACTGAGAGTTCATTTAATAGTCTTACTTGTATAAAAAACAGACACTCATACATACATATGTACATACGAAAAGACGTACACATTCGAACGAACGCGTTTGCATGCATGTACGTACTCGCATATAAGCCAACACACGTGTACTCGCACGTATGTCCATCAGCACATACACACACACGCACACACACTGACCATGGAGTTGGTGGCGGGCAGGCGCGTGCGCAGCAGCTGCGTGACGACGTCCACGATGCGCTGGTGCAGGCGCGGGAAGCGCAGCATCTCCTGCTGCACCTCGGTGCCGCAGTGCTGCACTATGCGCTGCATCTCCTCGTGCACCTGCACAACGCACAATTACCCTTACCTTGTCAAACCCTCCACATATACTTACATATTTACATATACTTATAAGTTAGAGTTCCTTATAAGTTAGTTTTATAGGTGGTAGAACCACAATGGAGCTATATTATCCACTCAACCGTCCATGGTGACTACAGTCCCCAAAAACCATTATTGCCTCACCTGTCTAGGCACCAAACGACATCTTTCGTTTTAAAACGTGTACAGTGCAAAAAATAGCTGTTATTAATACAGTGAAAAATTATAGATGGTGCTATATGAAATTTGTCGTCTGTGAAATTGAATTTTATCTGTATAATAGTAACAAAATATTTAGAAAAAAAAAGTTAAAATTAAATTTTTGTTTGTGGAATGTTAACATGTGAGAAATTCGATCATAAATGTGATAACTTTTCTGTTTTTATACGTTATTTCTAATGCTATTGTACATCAAACTAATTGTGAAGATATTTTCTTTAGTAATTATGTATCATTACGACAATTCCAAAACATTTAAAAAAAAACATTTATAATTTAGCTCTAAATTTTAATCACTATACGCGATCATCGTTTATTGATTATATGTTGTTTAAAATGTATTCTAATCAGTTTTTTGTGTTAAATGAAAGCAGAATATAAAATAATGGTTCACTATTAACACGTTGATAGCAATTTATAAACGAAATATCTGTTGAGATGTGTCTAGAAATTATTAAAATCTATTTCTTTCATTTATTTATTTATTTATTCAAATTTATATTGGGTAAACATTAAATACTTATGTCTGTTAACTATATAAGATGTTATTGATATTGGTGTCATTTTAAAGGGAATATCATGTACTATTTAATATAAAATAATTATCTCCAATATTACACTTTTCTTGTAAAACTCGAAATAAAAACGATTTTTTTTGATATTCCCGTTTTTAGGCTTTATTTTTAATTTGACTAATTTTCTTTTAACAAAATATAATTTTGAATTCTTTGAGTCTTTTGAGAATATTTTTTATTTGAATGTAGCTATAGTAGTTTTTCAGTAGTAATCGTTTTTGTTAAGACTGTCTCGCGCGGTCGTAAAAAATAGTGACATTTAATTCGCGGACAGGTCAGGCGAGAATCACTCGCGCAGGGCGCACGGTTGAGTGGTTATGGGTGTAACACGAATGGCTCGGCTCGACCGGGGCAGCTTAATACTGCTGTTTTTCGTATGGTAAACGTAGAGAACTGAAGACGCTTTTTACTGGAAAAGAGGCATTCCATATTAGTCCTCAGGGGTGACAACGCATCTGCATTTTGATTTTTAATGGGGATAAATGTAGATTTATATGGGCCACAACATCTACTTACCATCAGGTGGACTGTGCTCATTTGTCGTATAAATTCTATCCACTCACACTCACTCGATATTTCTCTGGAACTTCCCACAGTCATCTCTTACGACACCAACGGGACGAATTGGGTTTATGGATTCTCACGCCGCCACCACACTTAAGTAACTGATCATTATTGAGTTTCGACTGCCTAGTAGCACTGTGACTAATAAATTATTACTCGAGTTCAAAACTAAAGAATAAGAAAACACATTTCTTTACAATGGTGTTGTCACTTACAAATATGAAAGAAATATAATTTACCAATTCGACACACCGTAGCGATGGATCTTCCAATCTTCTGATTTGTCTTTTGACTAGTAATTCAAATGAAACCTCGGGCACAAATAGCGCAGGTCTTGGACCCGTCGCATTACGGATAGCCGTCAGTATGTCCATTCTAGTGAGACCTGAAATTAATACTCCAAGTTGAAACGTTTGATCGTCACCACACTGACCAAGCTTATCACTATTGCAGCTCAGAAATAGGATTTATCATTTAAAGAGTGCTCAATACCCTCGGGCAAAGAGTATTCTTGAAGACCATATCTCAAATCAAGACTTAAAACTTTTAAATAAATCTACTATTATTATAAATGTGAAAGTTTATTTGGATGTTTGTATGTTTATGGCATCTATCACATCTATCATGTCAAAAACTACTGAACGCATTTTGATATCTTTTTACACGAATGTTGATATATTTAATTATTTGATAGGGTCAAATATGTAATGTAATATACATTTTTAAGTGCCAAGCCTATCTGCACTCTGTTCACTCTGCTAATTAACCGACAGGGCCAGCAACAGATTCAAGGCTAATAATTCATCCAAATGCATAGTGACTAAGAGGTTTCTTAGTTTAGGTTAAAAGGTTGTTATTTAAGATTTAATGATTAACAGCCTTAGTTTTTTTTTATATAGAAGAGGGGGCAAACGAGCATGCGGCACATCTGATGGTAAGTGACTACCGCCGCCCATGAACAACCGCAACACCAGGGGAATTGCAGATGCGTTGCAGGTCTTTTAGAAAGGTGTAAGCTCTTTTCTTGAAGGTCCCTAAGTCGAATCAGTCCGGAAAAATCGCATGTGGTAAAAATTCCACAGAGAAGTTGTACGAGGAAGAAAACTCCTAGTAAAACGCTCAGTCGTGGACCTCCAAGCATCCAGATGGTGAGGATGGTATCGTGAATTTTGACGCGATGTGCGTTCGTGAAATTTGGCGGCTGGAATTAATCCGAACAATTCTTTATAACTTACTTAAATCAAATATTAATTATCTCTATACCTATCTTTGTATTGTCGTTTAGTGAACAAAGAGAGAGCAATTTTAAAGTATTTCTTAAATTAACTTATTTTTTTAATATGGCCATTAATAACTGGTACTATAACTAGACCTATTACTGATAAATATAGCAACAGTTTTTTTTTTCAGTCTTTTCTTTAGTTTTTAATCATTCGACTCTGAATGTTTTGCTTACCCACTAATGGATGAATAGAATCTAAAGTCCTTCCAAATGTTTCATGGAATATGTAGCAAATCCTTGCTCCACCGCACAGTTCCGTGGTTTCAATATTTCTTGCAGTGCCTTCTATAGTGGAACAGTAGGCACTTGCGAACTTCGTAATTATTTGCAAAAGCGTCTGAGACTTATCGGAAACATCATCGCCATATGAATTGAGCAAAGATTGAAATTGAGATATCATGACATTAACACGCACCTGTTGAGAAACAATTTTGTTATAATTAAATATACTAAATAATAAAATTACAATATGTTCCAATCACCTAACACAAATAAATATAAATGTTTTATGCTTCCATACAATTATATAATTATGTAGGCTTGAATGTTTAAATATTGCTTAGGTATAATATGCCTTTAAAAATTTTGGTATAGTCAATTTTATAATAATATTCTTTCATTCATGTTTTGCTGACAGAAAACATGCGTGAGTGCATGTTTTGCTGACAGAAAACATGCGTGAGTGCTGTGGAACACTCGGTTGGAACGAAGTTCCTTTCGAAGTATATTATTATTGATTAACGTATTATATTATTGATTAACAAATACAGATAAATGAATTACTAGCGTCTACTAAAATGAAGCGTCATTTAAAATAAAATATTTTTTTCATGGCAATATAAGAAAAAGTGCGAGGGAGATGGATATTATTCCATCTCGCTTCCTCATAGCCGCCAAGTCGTGACGGAAAAGTTTTACTTTTTCTCGCCTAGCCCCCATCCGCCAAAGTCGTATACCGTGCGGATAAAGAACTTCGTTCCAATAGATTTTCCTTTGATAAATTGTGTTATAGCATCGAGGAGATAATTACAGTTGGAGCTCAATAACCTATGACTCTAATTTTTATACCATTTTCGAAAATATAAATGCCAGATTATTATCTTCTACAAATACACATCTAATAATTATATAATTTCTAAAAAAAAATAACTTTAGTTAGGAATATTGACAGATTGCGACGTCGGATAATAGAGGGTTGCTGCGTTTTTGTGATAACTAGAAAATAGGGCTGGATAATTCAACCAAGAACTTGTAAATAAATTGGGCTATAAATGAAGTACTGAAAAAGGAATGTGATCATAGTTTTTTTGCTATTCAAGCATACATATAACATAAGAAAAGAGCTATAACCTTATATAATTTGTAAATTATGAAAACTGCAAACATCCTGCTAACTGAATGATATAAAGGAATTTAACACACTTCTACACAAACTAACTATGGGTGGACGCACCTTAAGTTCAGGCAAGCAATCCCTTATATGGTGCATGAGCAACCTGTTTAGGGTCTTTGCCAAGTACGGGGTACCGTTCCGCGTCGCTATAGTTGGATACTTCCGCTGAAGGTATGTAGCTTCGTCTTTAAGTGAATCCTATAAAAAATAAAGTTGTTAGATTTATATATAAAATATTATACACAATATAGTAAAATAGCGTTACTTCTAAATAATATGTATAACTATTTAATGTATTTTCTTTGTTGTATCTAAAGATACAATTTATTTTTTAATTCCATACAGTCTCTATTTAAAGTCCACTGCTTAACATAGGCCTCCAATCTATGGATTTGTTTTAGTTGCCACGCTTGGCAAGTGGGTCGGCAACCGCAGTTTCTTTATTTTCGGTTGTCATCAGGGAGATGCAGCTGCTCAATCCTGTTTCAAGTTCCCTAAGGCGCCACTTACCGACACCCATGGGATGAAATAAAGTAAGTACCTAGTGAGTATTCTTACTCCACCACTACCCACTGAAAGTGTTTTAATATGCAAGAAATATGAAATTAAGGCGTGTGGCGGCAGCAACAGCGGAACAGAATTAATCAACCCATTTCTTCCCGTGGGGTGTCGTTAGAAGCGACAATAGGAAATGCCAGAAGAATGATCACATGACATCCGATAGATGGCGGTATTTCTTTCGCTATCCCGTCTATGGCAGACGTAATATATGCAGATCGGCGATGGGGAATAGCAAAGACTTGAGAAGTCTGGTAAAGCGATCGCCAATCCACAAAACAAGCGTGGCGATTAAGGCAAATGTTTCTTACAACAGAAAAAGCCCATGTTCCCCTTTGCTTTTAAGTGATGATGGTGATGGCGAAGATGGTGTTAAGGAAACTTAAAAGCATCCGTCGTAGGTTAAAAAGATAAAGAAAAGTGGTTACCAAATAAAAAGTAAGCTCATCTATATAAATATTATGTAATTAATAAAATTGGCGTATCCATCTTTTTGAAACCGAAAAAAATAGTTCGAGAAAAAAGCTTCTTTGTATTTTGTTTGTATAAAATTGTGTTTGTATCTGGCTGGTTTTAATATCAATACATATATGTGGGACATTAAGAAAAATTTATACATATATATATTTTTTCAATTGTTTTTCGGACCGCCAAAATAAGTGAATCTAACGAAGAAATTCAATACGTTTGAAAGTGTTTAGTGAAAGTTTATTACAAAAAAAGCGAAAATTGCGACTCGAAAAATTGTAACATTTATGGACCTAATGCAATGTCAGTAAGAGTAGCACATAGTTGGTTCAAGCGTTTTCAGTCCGGGAATTTCGATGTCAAAGATGCAGCTCGCTCTGGTCGCCCTCATAAGGATAAAGTCGATGCCATTTTTTAAAAAGTGGGGCAAGATCGACATATTACTAGTTAAGACAGTAATTTTCATTTTATCGTGTATTGACTAGCAACCCGCCTTTTAGAAAAGCACTCTTCGACCGATTTAGTTTGTAGCTTTGTTATTGATAATTCATTGATACGAACTTTTTAGCTTATAGAGAGGTACCGCCATTATTTAAAATCAGTTACTTTACTTTACTTTATAGAAATGAGGCTGCGTATCTACTATAATGTTAGGAGATCTTAAAAATAACGTATGGTTCTACTAAAATTAAATTAACAATTATCTATGTGTTATATTCTAAATTCAATGTAAAGGGAACAAATATGCAGTTCGTAGCTAATAATCATTGTAGTAAACTCATTCAAAATATTTACAATCTTAAAGCAAAAACGATGCAAAAAAGACCATACCGAAATAGTCTTTTTATCTATGATGTCTTGCTGCGATCGGTTGACGACACCAATGATGCCCAGTTTCACGGGGATAACACGTCCACACAGAATATCGATAGCATCAGTTCCTGAAAATAATATTTGTAATATAATGTACATCAAATATATAATAAAAGTTTTAATTTCTTTTTATTTTCATAACAAGTGTAGATCCCACAAGTAAAAAATTTTATGTCTTAATTCTAACAATTAAATGCAAGTGTAACGCTTGATGATGGGCAATAGCTATCATAATATCATCATCAAATCATCACACTGGCTTTAGTGATGATGTCCACGTAGTCTATTTTCGACCATGGCGACAGCTCCCCAATAGTTAAAACTACGAATTAGAGATGTGTCAATCGTGAATAATTCGTTAATTTGACCCGCTTGATGATTGCAATTAAATTTTTTGTACGTTCCGGATCAAACTATTGGACAGGACAGGACCCACGACCTAAGAGTATAGTAATGTCCGACGACCGACATTATCGAGCGGGTCTCACAGATCACAGAGTACTGAAACTCGAAATAATCCATTTTAACGATCGACCCGAATGAGCCGGTTCGTAAGACGAATATTATTTGAATGATCAGGTCACTAAAAATTAATGAATAACACATGTCTACTATGAATGGTATAAAAGTACATACAAACATAAGAAGTAAAGACACTTCTTTATCATCACCCTGTAAAAGTCCACAGTTGAACATAAGCAAACCGATAACGTCCGCGGTACCACACGTCTCGCAGCTTAAACGCTGCTCGTAGTCTTCGCAGGTCTGGTTAGTTAGATCACACACGGGACGAAATGGGGAGATGGATTCTTTTATGCCGTTGTCATAATCTTTTTATTGCTACGCGCTATGGTTACGTTTACTTGTGTATATAATAATAAAGTCCTCCAGACCGAATTTCGGTCATGGCGGTCAGTCTGAACGGAAACTAACCATCTGCGCGGGACATGATTATAGTGCCCAAGTGTATGCGCAAGCACAAATGCACTCTTTATTCCCCCATTCTCATAGTCCGATGGGACGGTAACCCGACATTACCAACGGCTTTACGTGCTTTCCGAGGCACGGGGGTGAAACACCGCCAACTTCCTGACTCCGGTCTGCTACTGAGAATTTCTCGACAGAAAAACCCCAGTAGCTGATTTTCGTCCGACCCGGGATTCGAACTCGGGACCTCATTATCAGCAAGCGCGTTTATGACCACTAGACCTACTAGGCAGTCACTTGTACATAAATTTGCAGAGAAGATTCAGAATAAGTAATAAGTATAACCAAATGGTGAAGAAAAATTAATTAAAAAGAATCTCCTTTTTATCTTTTAAATACAAATTCCTAAGGGTCGATCGGTCGGCAAAAACGTTGTGAATTGAATCGCACACGGAGGAGCACGCGTACACGTAGTTGATGCCCATAAATCACATTCAATTTGGGATAATTTCAAATAAAAGTAGAAGCCTTGATTACACGTATTATCAAAAACTGCAATAACGGTATATCATTATTTATATATTTGAACTTAAGTTTAAATATTATATAAAAATTGGCCAACTTTTTGATCTATATTAGATGTAATATTTATAACATAAGATTGTAAGGCACGAAAAGTTTCACATCAAGACACGAAACCAACAATTTGTTTTTTTTTTTTCAAATGTTTAATCTGGCTGGTAGCCGAACCCATAAGAGTTTACAGCCAATACAGGCTTGCCGAAAAAGAAGGAGTTGAACAAGTTTTATAAAATACAAGTAGCAGTCATCATTACAGCCCTTCACAAGTCCACTGCTGAACATAGGCCTCCCCCAAAGAATGCCACAAAGCACGGTCCTGAGCCACCTGCATCCATCGACTTCCTGCATGTCTTACCAGGTCGTCACTCCATCTCGTGGGGGGACGCCCTACACTTCGCCTACCGGTACGAGGCTGCCACTCGAGAACCTTTCTTCCCCATCGGTTGTCGGTTCTTCGAGCTATATGGCCGGCCCACTGCCACTTCAGCTTACTAATCCGTTGGGCTATGTCGGTCACTCTAGTTCTACTGCGGATATCCTCATTCCTAAGTTTATCACGCAGAGAAACTCCGAGCATAGCCCTCTCCATAGCTCGCTGAGCGACCTTGAGCTTCCTCATACGGCCAGCAGTGAAGGACCACGTCTCAGTTCCGTAAGTCATCACTGGCAACACGCACTGGTTGTACAATTTCGTTTTAAGGTTTTGAGGTATGGACTGGAAAGGATACGGTATCAACATCAATGGCGAGTACATCACTCACCTTCGATTTGCCGACGATATAGTCCTTATGGCAGAATCGCTGGAGGACCTAAGCACTATGCTCAATGACCTCAATAGTGTTTCCCAACGGATAGGTCTTAAGATGAACATGGACAAAACAAAGATCATGTTTAATGTCCATGTCACACCTATGCCGGTAGTTGTTGGGAGCACTAAGCTCGAAGTTGTTGACGAGTATGTTTACCTGGGACAAATAGTCCGACTAGGTAAGTCCAACTTCGACCGAGAGGTCAATAGACGGATTCAACTCGGCTGGGCAGCGTTCGGGAAGCTACGACACATCTTCTCGTCAGACATACCTCAAAACCAAGTAGCAGTAAGTAGGTACAAATATGCGAATATACACATACAAACACGCAAATCAGTTTCGTATATATTGGATCACAAAGGAAAACGAAACATTTAAATTATAGGATTAATGAATAGTGGTCAGAGCACATGTCTGATTACATCATTCAAACAGATTACAAAATTTAAACAGTGGTAGAGCCACGCGGCAGCTTTTGCTGTCGCACGGATGGGCCGGCTCGAACCGGGGTGGTACCACGACCTCACAGAATACCAGCGTGAAGTAGAGGTTTACTTCTGCGTTTCGCTTGGTGAGTGCAGGTGGCCGGAGGCCCTTTTTACTGGAAATGAGGCATTCCATCTTAGTCCTCACGGGTGGCAACGCATCTGCATTTTGATTCGCAAACGAGTATAGATGTAGATGTCTATGGGCCGCAGCAACCACTTACCATCAGGTGGACTGTGTGCTCGTTTGTCACCCTTATCCTATAAAAAAAAAAATTCAAGTATCATTGGAAGCCACTGTAAACAGGAAGATGTTATAAATTATCCAAGCAAACATCACCTTTATCAAGCGGTATAGAAATAATCATGAAAGTAAATGTTAAAATAAACACAGTAAATATTTGCATGCCATGAGAATTGGTCCCAAACAGAAGAATTAGTATCAGGTCAGATTCTGGGACCCGAATTCTGTGTTACGCAAGCAGTCAGAGAACTCGAGTGTGAAGTACCGAATTTTGAAATATTTAATTCGTTCAGAGTTCGAAGAATGGATAACGATTATTCGACGTAATGAGTGGGTTTCTGCAAAGTAAGTACTTCTAGCAGTATAAATCTTCAATGACATTTATCAATAGAATTCGGAAGGTATCTTTGGTCAGTCTGTCAGAACATCATGGATACACTACTAATCAAAAAGTATGTGTGGTAAAAGCTTTTACCCGCATCCATAAGATCTAGTTTCGTGACTACAGCCAAAGTCCTTCGGCCATCAGGGTCCACTTCTTTCGCCATCTTTATTGCTTCACTGGTAGCCATGTCGGTATTTGCAGCAGTTACTGCCAGGATTATTGAGTTTGGATTTGATATGTGTTTGATAATGAGATTTCTAATTTGATTCTCAATGTCTTCTGGCTGATCACCTATTGGTACCTGTGTACGAATACAAATAAAAATATAAAGATAAAGAATAGAATAGAATTATAAAATGTAACTAAATTACATAAGAGAGAGGACACAGAATATCCACATAAAACAGGAGGATAATGCTGTTGCTTTTCGTATGTCGACTTTTTTTAAGTTGACTACAACCCGACTGACTGAAATGACTGACGAGTACTGGAGACTTTTTACTGATTGTTACCAGTAAAAAGTCAGCATTTCATTTTAAGGTGTCAAAACACATATGTACTTTAAATTTGAATTGAGGAAAGTATAGGTGTATTGATACATAGCATGCACTTACCATCAGGTGAACTGAGCGTTTGTTTGACACCCATACTTCTACACAACAAATAAGCTTAAAATAAATCAATAAATATGTTAATGTTAGTTAACTTTTTCAAATAATGGTGGTGGGACAAAGTACAATTTATTGCATGGAGAGGATGTTGTAGTTGTAGTTTCCATATTATATTCAGTTAGTTTTACAATAAACTTAAGGCGTAAATTTGTATCTATTGTATGATTTGATTCCCTATGCAAGTGATGAACCATGAGGTAAAACAGCTACTACGCTAAAGAGCGAATGCGACAAATCGAATTAATTTTCCTTTCCGATATAAAAAAAAATCACAGATAAATCCCGTTCTGTATACTCTACTCAGTAACTATACAACAATCGACTTTGATTTCATAGAAACTTGGGTGGTGTTACAATCCCTTCAGCAGCAGTGCTTGCTAGGTTGCATATAGGGCTGTTATAATGTCGATAGTTTGGAATTTAAGGACCCAGTTCATTCCAAACTATAGAGACTGCGCGAAACCTGACTTCAAGTTATAGTGTTAGTGGGCAAGATGCCCTTAGATATTTTTTTGTTCTTACTACATTTTATCACAAGTCCACTGTATAATCTATGTTCAGATTCTATGTATGGCCAAAGTTAATAAATATATATTAACTTTGGCCTCTAAGTACAAAAATTAAAGTAATTTTAATAAATAATAAAAAAGTGATGTACACTGTAACAACCAGGAACAAACACAAGCTAGTGATAGCAGTTTCTTGACTTCATAGAGTCAGTATTTCATTCATGGCGCAATGTATTATACGCTATTACAATCAAGTCTCAAGTATACAAGGTCTCTCTATTACCAAGTTTAAATATTTTATCAAACAAAACCTTTATAAAACTGGGTTATTATAATATAAATGATAAATGAATACATGGTTGATAATAAAGGGAATAAGGTAGTCACTTCAAAATGGTTTCTTAAATAAGTTTTGTTACTTTGTACAACTTTTCTTATTGTATAATTTACTTTGAAAAAAAAATCCCACTGGGTTCTTTGCTGATTCTTCACAGGACAGAGGTTTTTTCCACCAGTCGTAAAAGAAAAAAAAATGACGTTTAATAAGAATTACTTGTAATCTACATTGAATAAAAAATTATTCTATTTTATGGGAAGGCAAGTTGGCAACTGCAAATTTTTTTTTATTACCTTATTACTAACAACTACAAATTAACAAGAGGCCAAAATACATCGATTATTTAAATTTAAAATGTATAAAGTTCTCGAATTTTTCGAGAAACGGAAAAACTAAAATTACTTAGATCTGCAAATTATATAGTAACTTTATATAATAATAACAATTTGATTTTTCATAATTCAAAGAAACTTGTTAAAATGAGAATAGTGAGAGTAGATACACTAATGATTCAAATCCAGTCAGAAGTGTAAACAATGACACTGAACCACACACTGACTACATTAATATTAAGGTAACACACATTGGCACAAAAAAGTAAAGGTTATCTTAATCTAGCTGTATATACCTTTGTAATACCAGGAAGATCGACTAATGTTAGATTTACAACTCTCGTAGAGTATATTTTTAAATTAATTGGCTCTGGACATATGCCTTTGTTGCTGCCAGCCATGCGGTCTGTCTCTCGCTCTATTTCCTGACGAATTTGATCGAAGTCGTCGTATATCTTCTCTTTCGTGTGGAGGAATTTGCCCCATTCTTCTAAGTTCACTGTGCCTAAAATAAAATATAATGAAAATCGAATTTAATTTACATATAAATAATCCATACGTCACAATATCCACTGCATAGCCTAAAATCCAGCCAAGGGGGTGGCTGGGTTTTGCCGTAGTTGCTTGCGATAGGGTTGTCAACTGTAGTTTTTTATTGTCTTGAGTTGTTATAAGAAATATGCTGCTGCCCATCTCCTGTTTCCGAAGACACAACAGACCCTTCCAACACCCATGGGACGGTATGGGTAATGGATGCCTACAACACTACTACATGCTTGTATTGGCAGTGTAACAATATCAAATGATGAGTGGTGGCGAATTATTTAATTACAGCAAAATTTTTATTTCTATTGTAGCCAGAATGTTCATTAAAAAATTTCAAGAAGATACCAGTAAAAATTAATGAGTTTCCTCAAGAAGAGACAATGCTAACTGCAGCGTAAGGTTATCTTTTTGGTTACGATCTTTTTTATAGGAGAGGGCGCAAACGAGCATGCGGCTCACCTGATGATAAGTGACTACCGCCGCCCATGAACAACTGCAACACCTGGGGCGAATTACAGATGCGTTACCGACCTTTTAAAAAGGAGGAAGCTCTTTTCTTGAAGGTCCCTAAATCGTATCAGTCCGGAAAAATCGCTGGTGGTAATCGATTCCACAAGGAAGTTGTGCGAGGAAGAAAACTTCTTCTAAATCGCACAGTGGTGGACCGCCAATCATCTAGTTTGAGTTTTGTCGACAATTTCTAAGAGCACTCCCCGTGGCGATTGTGATAAAATACACATCTCTGCAGATACTGGCTGAGGCAAGAAGGGGAGTGCCTTGAAACTGAGGAGATACGACAAAGGGGTTCTTTTTAGCGGTAAACGCGCAAACTTGTGTCTTCTGAGGATTAAACTGGACTAGATTTAGTCGCCCCCAATCCGAGACTTTGTTCAGCAAAGACTCGACTTCAGAAACAAGTTTGTTCCGGTACTCGGCGACGTTTTCCCGAGAAATATTGGCACGGCCGGTGTATAGAGCATCACCAGTGCTGTCATCCGCATAGCAATGAATGTTACCAGTTAACAACTTATCATTGATATGCAGAAGAAACAGCATTGGTGATAGCACACAGCCTTGTGGAACACCAGCGTTAATAGGCTTGTAGTCGGAGCATGCACCGTCTATAACGACCTTGATGCTCCGATCTGCAAGGAAGCTGGTGATCCAATTGCACAATTTCTCCGGAAGCCCATAGGAAGGGAGCTTCGAAAGAAGCGCTTTGTGCCAAACCCGATCAAAGGCCTTCGCAATGTCCAAACTAACAGCCAACGCCTCCCCCTTGGACTCTACTGCCTCCGCCCATCTATGGGTCAGGTAGAGCAGAAGATCACCAGCTGATCGACCCCGACGAAAACAGTATTGGCGGTCACTAATCAGCTGGTGATCCTCAAAGTACCGCATGAGTTGGCAGTTAATAATGGATTCCATTATTTTGGAGAACAAGGAGGTGATGGCGATAGGCCTGTAGTTGGACGGGTCTGAGTGGTCGCCTTTTTTAGGAATTGGGTGGACAAAAGCTGTCTTCCATGAATTCGGGACTACGCCTTGGGAGTAGGAGTACCTCATACTTTGCTTTGGCAATAACTCTTTTGTAGGACCTGGAGGCGAAGTTATAATTCTTTTTAAGCATGCTGGTGTTTACATCCTGAGCCGCCGAAGCCTCAGCCCAGGGCTGATAACACTCCTGCTTACTGCGTAATGCAGTCTTACAGGAGCAACCAAATCAAGGCTGAGATTTGCCTCCGAAGGGTACCACAGATGATGGAATAAACAGTTCCATTCCCTGTAGCACCACATCAGTGACAGAGTCAGCAACAGCGCTGGGATCATCCGACAAAAAGCAAACCAGACTTTCTTTGCATTATGGGTAGAATGCAAAGAAAGACCGCATTCCAACCCAATCCGCCGACATGCAATGCCGAACACGGCGGCAGCCTGCAGAACGCAACCGCGAGGGGAGCGTGAGTGGCACCACACTCCGGATCAGACAATGGTCCGAAGAGCCGAGAAGGGTATCGGCGGAAATCTAATATCCGTCCGGATGAGAGGTCAGCAGAAGATCAAACAGGGAAGGTGTATGATCCTCTACACCTGGAATCCGCGTAGGCGAAGTAACCAGTTGTGTCAGACCGTATGCCAAGGCAAAGTCATAAACAGATCTCGCCACATGACCAGTTAAACGTGAACCGAGCCATTCGGCGTGGTGGGCGTTAAAATCGTCAAGTATCACGATCTCTACGGATGGAATCTGTTGTAGCAAGGAATCTGTAACCATTTGGACGTGGTCTATGAGTCGGTCTGTGTCGGCATTACCGCTGTGGTACCTATACAGGTACCCGTAGACGCGGGGATGGTCGTCGCTGTCTACGCGCAGCCAAAGGATGGACAGGTCCGTATCTTCAAGACTGCCGAGGCGTCGAGAACAGATATGCTCTTTGACGTATACGCAAACTCCAGCCCAGGGCACAAAGAAGTGTTCTAATTTGTACCCCAGGTAGGACAGGTACGAAGTATCAGTCGGAGAGGACACCTGTGTCTCGTTCAAAAAGAGCAAGGTCGGCTTCGCCGTCTCTAGATGGTAGTGGACAGCGTTAAGGTTCGAGTGAAGGCCCCTGATCTTGAAGAAGCCCACGGATCCACGCCAGAATACGCGTGGTAGCCTTAGCACACACACTCAGGAAGACAAGGGTTAGCCTGACCGTGGATGCTCAGGGATTTTCGATTACCAGGGATGCTGGTACCCTCCTGGGGTAGTCTTTTCTTTTTGAATTCCGCTACCATATTATGGGGGGGGAGGCCTCCGGCCACCTGTACTAACCAAGCAAAATGCAGAAGCAAAGCTTCTACTTAACATTGGTATTCTGTGAGGTTGTGGTACTGCCCCGGTTTGAGCCGGCCCATCCATGCTACAGCACAAGGTGCAGCGTGGCTCTATCACTGGTGATGGCTAGGCTAAATAGGTAGCAACAGGTCACCATTATTGTTATATTTTCCTGTCCAATTTAAATGTCCATACTAAATTTCAATGTTAATGAATCCTATGGAGATTCTGGCTGCAATATTAAATATGCATACTGAAATTTAAGAATCAAAGCAGAATCGCTGGAGGACCTAAGCACTATGCTCAATGACCTCGATAGTGTTTCCCAACGGATAGGTCTTAAGATGAACATGGACAAAACAAAGATCATGTTCAATGTCCATGTCACACCTATGCCGGTAGTTGTTGGGAGCACTAAGCTCGAAGTTGTTGACGAGTATGTTTACCTGGGACAAATAGTCCGATTAGGTAAGTCCAACTTCGATCGAGAGGTCAATCGACGGATTCAACTCGGCTGGGCAGCGTTCGGGAAGCTACGACACATCTTCTCGTCAGACATACCTCAAAACCTGAAAACGAAATTGTACAACCAGTGCGTGTTGCCAGTGATGACTTATGGAACTGAGACGTGGTCCTTCACTGCTGGCCGTATGAGAAAGCTCAAGGTCGCTCAGCGAGCTATGGAGAGGGCTATGCTCGGAGTTTCTCTGCGTGATAAACTTAGGAATGAGGATATCCGCAGTAGAACCAGAGTAACCGACATAGCCCAACGGATTAGTAAGCTGAAGTGGCAGTGGGCCGGCCATATAGCTCGAAGAACCGACAACCGATGGGGAAGAAAGGTTCTCGAGTGGCAGCCTCGTACCGGTAGGCGAAGTGTAGGGCGTCCCCCCACGAGATGGAGTGACGACCTGGTAAGACATGCAGGAAGTCGATGGATGCAGGTGGCTCAGGACCGTGCTTTGTGGCATTCTTTGGGGGAGGCCTATGTTCAGCAGTGGACTTGTGAAGGGCTGTAATGATGAATGATGATGATGATGACTGAAATTTAAGATGACAAGAGTGACCATTAAAGTATTTCCTCAAGTCAATTGAGGATGGTCATAATTATAGTTTCAGTAGTATTAGTATATAGTATAGTATTTACATAATGATAGTGAAAATTGTTGCCAGAAAGAATGAGATTGCATTTGTGTTATGTTTTTTTTATTATGCTAACATTTTGCAACTTAAAATAGATATAAAAAGACATTGACTTTTACTTAATATTGATACATTTACACAATATATTTAGCCAAAGTCAAAACGAAGAATGATAAGAAGCAAATAAATTTCAAAGCTGTACCTAGTACTCAATGATGTTTTATGTTTATACAAATACTACAGATTTAAATGAAACTAAGTTTGATGGATTTCATTGCATATATTAACTTATTTTAAATTAATTATTACTGCACCATGAGTTCTGCAAAGTATTCTAAACAGTGAGAATTTAAAATATGTTAATATATGCAAACCTGTAAAACTTAGTTTCATTTAAATATACCTACTAGTACTTGTTATGAAATTCCAAGGAATGGAGAAGATCCTGGCAGCAGCATCAGCACATCATTATGGTTATGTTATCTTATCTCACACTATGCATAACAAAGTTCAAAATACTACCAGTAACTATTATTATAATTAAAGAATCCTCTCATGCGGAGTTGAATCTGTTAACTGAATCAAGTCATTATTATCATAACAATTTTGAAAGAGGGCCTTTCTAATAATAGTACCAAATAGGATATCAGAAAAGGGTTCTTAACTTCAAAACTCATTCACATTCAGGCATTTAATATACACAGATACTTATACATTGGCAGAATCTAAGCAATAAGGGATTATAAAAAGCTAACAGCAACAGTGGTGCATTCATTTCGTGCTTTTAGGTCAACATGCATTAACATATTTACATGTGACGCGTCGGGCAGTAGTTAAGTACTATGACCAGAAGTTCTCAACTATGAACACTGCAAATTGCAAATCACACAACACATAGGTGCAGTTTAAAATTATCAGTAGATAATCTTTTTATTTGCAAAGTTTATTATTCTAGTAAATACAATGAATCAATGCATCATAATTGTAATAAGCACATCAGCATTACGACGTTCATTGCATTCAATAGATAATAAGCCTTGTGTGAGAAAATGATGTGAAAAACTGTAAACAACATGGAAAGGTTAAATACTACACAATCGAACTAAGAATATAATCTACATTAAATTTTAATTTACATTATAAAAATAATTAAATTTGATAGAAGACTTATACACAGAGTGTGAGTGTTGAGAAGGTAAAGAACATGTGTTCTGGCCAATTTCAAATATTTGTTTGGAATAACAACATTAGTTTTCTACAACAACATTTTTTTTATCTTGCTAATATTGAATGTATTACTTTTGTGATAAAATTAAATATGCACTCGGATAGCTCCTGAGCTACAAAGGGCATAATGATTCATAAATTTCTTCTTTTTACTAGCCCAACATTGACCAATGCTTGACATGGGTCTTGTCCAATATAGGAAGAATTTTCCAAAATCACCATGCTTGGCAGATTGGACATCACAAAATATTTCATATAATATCTTCTTAAATAGTGCAGATACCTTTTTATTAATATGGAATTAAAGTTAAGAATTAGAAAAAAAAATTATACCTTCTTCAGCTGAACGATGATCTTTACTGTCTTTAGGGCTGTACACTAATTGTAGAATAAGCGGGCGCCGAGTAACAATACCTGGCCCACGGGGTAAAAATGATCGCCCAACAAGACTTTCTATCACGGAACTTTTACCAGAACTCTGTAAAATAAAATTTTGTGAATAAATTAAAAATTTTAGATCAGGAAAAGATAAGCATGCAGTATATGCAAGTTAATTTAAGCAGATAAAAATAAGAAAAAATGTTGTTTCTAATAATTTAAAACTAAATAATATCTGCTTATGTCCACAATCATCAATGATTAGATACATTTGCAGAAAACGGGGACAAAGAACTAGTGACATTTTTACATAACCGTCCAAATTTTCAGTTTATTATAATGCAATGCTTTACTTGAAATTTCCACACTTAATAGTCAAATAAGTATTATAATCATAAGAAAAAAAAACAATATTTAATTTCACCTGTGTTCCTAAAACTATTATTTGAGGTAATTGGATGGCATCAGCACCGACAGTATTAAATACATCTTGTAATTTGTTTATAACAGGTATGAGAGCTTCCATATTTAGTTAAATATTAATAAACACTGCACAATAGTTAAAAGTGTGCAAATTATTTTTTTAATTGTCTGAAATAATTCTTTCAATTAGATAGACCATCAACACACAAACCGACCGGTAAGGTCGGCCATATTGATTTGTTCAAAGAGAAGAGAAGAGCAAAGTGGAACAAAGACTATCTACCTACTTCTATATTATTTTTTTATATCAAGACTGGAATACAGACAGAGTCCTTCTGTCAAAATATTAAAAGTAATAGTCTAGGCCATATTTATTTATCTATGGTCTAGGCTTGCGTAAAAATATTGAAATATCGATTTTTTCTCACAAAGCTATCGATATTTATCATCGATATTTTTAATCACGATATATCGATATTCAATACTTATTTTAGAATATCGAATTTGTATCAATTTTAATATATTTTAAAATTATATATTTATTTAATAATGTAACGGACAATTTAATTTATTATAAAAAACAATTAAGCAACAAAAGCAATTCTACAAAAGTATTCATGAGCTGTTGTTTTTTTTTCGTCGTCAAAACGTCCAGTAATAACATTTTGGTACTCATCCTATTACATCATGCAGAAAATGACGATATATCGAAAATTATCACGCGATAGTTATCGATACTATTTAAAGATATCAATACGATAAATATTAATATATTTTTTCACTTGCCCATCTCTACTATAGTCTGATGTGTGTTTCGTCATCATCATCATCATTACAGCCTTTCACAAGTCCAATGCTGAACATAGGCCTCCCCCAAGTTATGCCACAAAGCACGGTCCTGAGCCACCTGCATCCATCCACTGCCATACAAGGTCTTCACTCCATCTAGTGGGGGGTCGCCCTACACTTCGCCTACCGGTACGAGGCTGCCACTCTAGAACCTTTTTTCCCCATCGGTTGTAGGTTCTTCGAGTTATATGGCCGGCCCATTACCACTTCAGCTTATTAATACATTGGGCATTGACAGTCACTCTAGTTCTACTGCGGATATATTCATTCGTAAGTTTATCGAGCAAAGAAACCCCAAGCATAGCCCTCTCCATAGCTTGCTGAGCGGCCTTGAGCGTCCTCATACGGCCGGCAGTGAAGGACCACGTCTCAGATCCATAAGTCATCACTGGCAACATGATATGCATGTAACTGTAACTTACTCACAAAATTCTTCACATTATGTTGATTCGTCACATTTGAAAGTTTTTATGAGATTTTGACGACAGCTTAAACGAACGGATAAATCGTAGATGATAGTATTTAAAGCAGCAATCACGCTGCATAAGGCCGTATACAGAAAGAAAGCCGGCAGCCAGCGCCAATCTACCAGCGCTTATCGGCGCTGGTCTATTCTGGTAACAGTTACATAAAGCAAGCCGATTGAAGCAGAGCAAGCAAAATGTCGTACTTATCGGACGATTAATTAGTTTTGTAAGAAAATGTGTATTTTAAAATGCGAAAATAAGCTATACATCCTATTAATAGAGAAAGGAAATGTTTCGGAGAATACCATCATTTATTTGTAAAACAATTGAAATTTGATGATCAAAAATTCTATAGATATACAAGAATGACTCAAGAAACATTTAATTACATTTTGGACTTAGTGTAAAAACATTTGATGAAAATTGGTGTAATTGGCATAAACAACCAATCCTTCCAGAAGAAAAACTAAGTAATAAAAAATATATTTATCGCTTAGTTATTAAAAGATAAAGTTATTAGATTTATAAAAAGAATATCATAAAAAAAATGTTTAAAATATTCGCCTTAGAACTGTAAAGCTCTGTAATAAATAATAATTTAAAATGTTTAAACGTGGTTTAAATACATATTTGTACAGTCAACAGCAGATCAAGCTTAACACTGAGATTTGTACCGACCTTATTGTTTTGTAATAAGAGCGATTTTAAAAAGTATCTAAGTGTACCCTTGATATGCCGTCTTCCGTACAATCAACACGTCACTTTTCATTGCTCTATTCAACAAAAATATATGCGTGTCGTAGTTGTACGTGTTGTCGTATAGTTGTTCATTAATTTTAAATGGCGGGCGGCGCAAACACTGATCGACGCGTGTCGAGGTTTGTCGGAACTTGTAGGCGACGTTCGGTGTTTATCGGTGCCTTTTCATATAAATGCCTGCGCCGGTTACCTGTGTGGACCGGTCCCTATAAGCTCTGATAGGCTGCCAGCTTTCTTTTTGTATACGGCCTAACCTCGATAAAAAAGCTTAGATTCTTATTTAACCACTTGTTACACAATTATCACTAATAGTTGAAATGCCGACATTTATAATAAAATTATATTATTATAGTTTATAAAAATAGTTTAAATTCGCATCATTTATATGTATCTTACTTAACACTTTAAATCACCGTTACCGTTACAGCCTATTAAAGTCCACTGCTGAACATAGGCCTCCCCCATAGATTGCCTCATAGGGAAGATATTTGCCATAGTTTCCACGCTTGGCAAGCGGTTTGGCTACCGCAGTTTTTTTATTTTTAAACGTTATTAGGAAGGCGCTGCTACCGGCACCGGCACCGGCACCGGCACTACATAGCCCATTTCAAGCCATTATTTAAACGTAAATACAGGAGCAACAATTCGTCGGCGGTAAACATAGAGCAACAGGTAGGTACCGAAGGGATTTTTCCCAATTCAAAACTGTCCGTAATTTTTTGCGGGGGGAAATCTAAGGGTACAAAAACAATCGTCTGTCACTACGAAACTCACTCATAATAATTTAATCAATAAAGTAACAATTTCACATAGGATACATTATAACAGGATCACTCTGTGACAGAGACAACTTGTATACAGACTCGAATCACTCGCTTGACCGATCTGCATATTGTATGAGGGTGAGCGGCCTGTGCTAGTTAACAAATCCGAAACAATACGACTGTTATTATTGTAATTTTTGAATTTAAAAGTAAGTAAATAGCAATAATGTGATTAAACATTATTTATATATGAAAGGTAACGCCATCTCATTGTAAATTTGACATGTCAGATCTCTTTTTGCAGCAAATAATTAAGCCTCAAGCCCCTCAAATTACGTTGATAAAAACCTACTTTCTTACAGCTAAACTTACAGTACAATTTTTATTACTTTATCCATATTGTTACGAGCTTGGGGTTCGAGACAATCAAAACTGCCGATTGAATTACCAAAATTGACACTTAAATACACAACACTAATTAGAATCTAAAACCACAATAATAATAAAACACAATTGTAATACTGATCACTCAAGTTCGCAGTTGTTTCGCTTCGAAGTTTTCTCTTGTATCGCCAATTCAATACTCCTCGGTCGTGGTCTATACCGGCCTTATATAGGGCCTCAGATAGTTTCCAGAACCTTCTACTGTAGCGACATCTAGAATGTTCGAGTACATATCGGTCCCGAAATTTCTAGAAGGATCTTGTCTCTCCTAGTTCTGCTACCCGTGTTGCTGACTAGTGTTGCCATGTACAAGACATTAACAGTGGCGCGCAACAATATTAAATAGATGTATTTATTTAATTTAAGATTTCTTTTTTACGTTTTAATCACAGCTCGTGTACTTACTTGAAATACGAGTACAGTGTGTTGAATTTGTAACTTTTTATGAGGTTAAGTTCGTTGATCATTCGGTGTGCGTGGTGTGGGTAGGAAAAAGTTTCGCGCTCAAAATGGATGTATAAAATGGTAAGTATAAAACATAATCAGAACGACAATCTTTTGGTTTTAAAACTAAACTGCAAAAAAATTTTTTTAACCTATAACTTTAAACAATAACAAACTAAAAATAATTACTGTCACATATGTTCAGTGGCATTTAACAATTTATTGGAACCAAAATAAAAAGAAACGATAAATGAAACTAATTTTTACGGATTTTATAGCGTTTAATTTAAATTTTTAATTCCCGACTTTTCGGGTGCTTTACAGCACGCATGGTCACAGGGAGGACTGAGGTGTTTGACGTCCCTATGTCATAGTTGGACCATAAATCTTTGCAAAAGAACACCGATTCCTACCAAGGATTATTCGCGAGGCTATTGAAATTAAAAAAAACATCCTAATTTCAATAGAGACGATGGATGGGTGCTGCCATCTGCTTGGGATCCTATAATTAATAAAATTAAATCCAAACCCATGCATACCACTGTGAGACTTCAAGATACTGTAAGCTCATTCTGCGTAGATCGGACCAAAAATTAATATTCAAAAACTGAAGGTAGCCAGGCTAACTATGACATCGAGACGTCAAACACCTCAGCCCCCGGTACCACGGGTGCTGTGAAGCACTCGAAATGTCGGGAATAAAAAAATTAAATAAAACGCGATAAAATCCGTAAAAATTAGTTTCATTTAATATGTAGCCTTCGCGTAAATATAAATCATTAAAAAACGATAAGTTTAGTAAACGATAGTTTTTTTAAATTATGTTTGAACAAATAAAAAGTCTAAATATCATTATTGCCACAAATGTTCAGTACTATTTACATTGGATTACAATAAAAATAAAATAAAACTATAAGCTTAAATAGTCAAACGACAACATTTTGTTCTCAAAACTAAAATAAATCTTTTTTTAAACCTTTAGATTAAACAAAAAAAAAAACTATAAATAATATTTGCCACTGATGTTCAGTATCATTTACATTGGAGTATAATGAAAATAAAATAAAAATATAATTATAAATAATCAAACGAGAACTTTTTGGTTTCAAAACTAAAATACAAGACAATATGTTTTATAACTTGTGTAAACAAAAAAAAAATTAAAAAAAATTATTGCCATGAATTTTCAGTTAAAGAGTTTAAAAACAATCATTTTACCAAAATTATTCTTCGTCTCTTTCCCAAAATACGGTTTCGTTTTTTTCCTGACAATATTTCCCGCTTTCAAAAATAATCTTTCGGCTGAACTGGCCATCACAGAGAGGTGTTTAAGAGCCAATTAGGTTAGTTTAGGGAAAGTTCCTTCAAAGCTTTTG